TTTAGAGACAGAACTGAGATCATTGACCTCTACTGCGCAACAATCTTGTTTTGCATGCTGCGGCAACCTTTGGTAGCATATTGTAGAGGTGCAAAAGGGTCGCGATCTTTTGATTGCGACAAATTGTCTAGAAAATGGTCCTTACCGTCCAGTATGCAATTTGGGATCACTCGAAGTGAGCGGGATGTTGAAGCATGGATCCAGATTATCACATGTTCTATTGCAAACAGCACCAGAAGCATAGCTTTGACGTGACACAGCCGGAGGTGTATGGGTAATGTCATGATCTGTAGCATGAATTTGTAACAGTTGTCCGGTTTAACACAGCGTTCAGAGCTGCGCTCAAGCATTGCCAGCGACGTCCAGCCTTTGCCATGTGCCAGCAATGTGTCAGCGCCGTGCCGGAACCCACGTGATGCTCCATATCAATCAATCCAAGTTCCGTTATGGCGCTGGAACGACACTGGCACGACACTGGCACGAGGCTGGCACGGTGTTGGCACGGGCAAGTTTGAACGCAGCCTAAGGGGTGAAACCAATGGTACCATACCTATAAATTGTCCCCACTGCATAACCATAGCGGTCAAGAACGAATGCGGAGTTACGGTAGCTGTAGACACAACTGCGCGGGAAACCTGAAATGATGCTAGAGAAGGCGGTCCCGGGAAGATTGATGTATGCTTACATCTCTAGGATTCGGCTTGGGGTACCCGTTGTAGAGACGTCCTTTCTCCCATCCTACTGGTGTACTGAATCCGTTTTCGTAGATGGGAGGCAAAAGTCGAATCAGGGGCATTTGGGATACTCCCCACATAGGATGATCAAAGTTGTTGCACTGTCCGTCGTAGGACCTAGAAATAAGCGATTTTGAGCGCTCTTTGGCACTCTGCCAAAAGTCCAATATTGGCTTACCTGTACTTGCTATGGAAGCACATATCCGTACAGGAAGATTTGAATTGCCCCGATTGGCATCCAGAAAGTTCCATAAGGGTTTGCACATGTGATGGAGCCAGCACTGCCTCATAAGACACATTTGCATCCGGTGTCAGTTTATCCACAGGAAGACGAAGTCCTAGAGCGGGCTAGGTCAATAGTCATTACGGTAGGATTACTGTAAGGCTACTGTAGTAGGAAAAATGTTGCTGTGTACCTTTACGTATGTGCTCTTGAACTAGTCGGATGCTTTCCTCATAAATATCGCGCGCTTTGCTTAGTTCTACAGCCTAAATTGAATATTTTGGAAGAACAAGATCACAAGATACGATTGGAAATTTTTCCCGGAGTCCCACCTGTGCAGGGATAGAGAATCGGAACATATTTTTAAGATCTTCTGGGTCCGACATTTCTTTTGTGAGTACGGTACGAGTATGGTTTATCGCTCTAAAAAACTTTGAGTAGGATTGACCAGAGTTGCTCGTGTGTCAAAGCTGCGCCAACGCCGTGCCAGCGCCGTGCTAGTTTCGAATCAGCGCAGGACCAGGATTCAAGTTGAATATTGCGCATTGAGAACATCTCCATCAGCACAGTCTCGGCACGGCGCTGGAAGGAAGCTGCAACACCGCTGGCACGGGCGACTCTAGACGTAGCTTGAATTCTTTGACAAACCTATTGACATTTTCCCTAGCTTGCCCAGCGATATTTCTTAACACTGAATCGTCAATAAACGTATCAACCTGAAAGTCGGAATTTTTTGAGCAAAGTGAAGATTTTTATTATTAGGCTTACAGTGCGACCGAAGTCACCTTCGACGGTAAGTTTAGCGTCAGCCATCATGGCACCAACACTGTTTCCGGCCATACATGAGTAAACTCCTTCATCTTGTCGGGTTACTCTCGTGATTGTCAACTCACTCTGGTCATCTGAAACCTAAATGACAAAGCAAATTCGAATTTCAAGGTAAGGGCATGGAGTCCAAATCAAAAACTGCTTTAACCCAAGTGCATGCAAAGTTGCCCGCGTGCCAGCGTCGTGCCAGTGCTGTGCTGGATCCACGCAGACTCAGTGATATTAATCGGCCAACCACGCCAGCACAGTTCTGGCACGGCGCTGGAACGACGCTGGAACGACTCTGGCAACAACTCTGGACAAAGCCCAAAATAGGTATAAACACCCACCATGAAACGTCCTTTAATATGCGGTATGACCGAACCCTCAAAGAACCATGAGATGGAGGGTCTTGGAACTCCCCGAGCTCGACAGGCGAAAGTGACCTAAATGTGGGAATTTATGGGTTGAGAGAAACTTTTTTGAACTGATGTACCTGTTGTCCTAACCGAACCGTTTGAGGCGATGGTCCATCGTAAATGTTTGGAGGAACGCTGGAAGGAGAAGGAATGAATTTGGATGAATCAGTTGATGACTTGAACGGTATTTGTGATAAGGTATGTTGTGGCTTGGTACGGTGGTATTAATGGTGTGGTATGGTATGGTCTAGTATGTGGATAGTATGGTGGCATGTATGATATGGTTTGGTGCGGTATTGTATGTTTATTATGGTTAGTATGGTTAGTATGTTATGGTATGGTATGATGTGATGTGATAGGGTGGTGAGGTAAGGTATATATGTATAGTGTGGTAGTATGGTATGGTCCATGGTTTGGCATGGGGCGATTGGCAGGGTATATGGTATGCTATAGTATAGTATGGTATGGTAAATGTGCGGTATGGTGTGGTATAGTATGGTATGGTATGTTATGGTATGGTATGGTATGGTATGGTATGCTATGGTATAGTTTAATATGCCATGGTACGGTACGTAAGGTTGTAGTCATAGTATGATATGGTATAATTTAAGAAATTGTTAGATGCAAATGGTAGGGTTCACCTTATGGTGAGGTAAGTGCACGGTAAGGTAATAAGTAGTATACGGCATCGTTTGGTATGATATGGCATGGTATATGCTATGGTTTGCTATGGTATAATGGATGTAAAATGGTACGATAGTGTAAGTATAATACACTATAATTTGGTATACGATGGTATGATGAAGTATATCGTATGGTATGGTAACGTTCATGTCAAAGCGGCATGGTAATAAATGGTATTCGAGATGTTATAGTATGGTATAATGTATTATGGTTTGATATGGTTTAGTGTAGTGGTGGGGTATGGTACGGTATACTTTGCTATGATACGGTATGGTATGATATGGTACGCTATGGTATGACAGTATGGTAGTATAGTTTGCATTATGGTATAGCATGGTAAGCATGGTAAGGATGCTATGATATGCTATGGTATTTAATGGTAGACATGGTATAGTATGGTCTGATGTGAAGAATGAATGAATGAAGATATGAATAGATAAAAATCAATAAATGGATAAATATAAAAGAAAATGCAAATGACTACCTGCTCACTAATTGTAATTTGGCAGTATGTTGTATCTGCCCATGTACATTTGCAGCGATGCAAGTGTAGCTGAAGATTTTGAGTTCAGAATGATTCAAGTGAGAGTTGGAATGAAGCCAAACCTTCCAACATCCGACTCCAGAAACGGGTATATTTTCAATATTGAATTTGCATTTGTCAGCGTGTACTTCCTCGAGTTTACAATTGGCTGCAAACAGATTCGATACCACGTTAGTAGTACGGTATACAGTATCATTACAAAACCTGTCTTTTGTAGAACCAATTGACAGTTGGCCTCGGTTCACCCACTACTTCACAATGCAATTGAACAGCAGTTCCTTCCCTAGATAAAAATTTATGGGTTACCCAATAAAAACAATTTTGCCTACCTATAAGAGCTGTCCCTTGGCTTGAAGGTGAACTGTGGGCTCTGTCCGGGTGAGAATCGCTGAGTCTGTCGCAGGCTCCTGGATGTTTAGTATATTTGAGCATTTCCTTGGGGTCAAGGGTTTGTGTGTACCTATGCGGAACGATACCATAATCGGCAGTGCAGGTAAATCCATGAGCAGATGATTCCTTTGGGATTACCAAAGATCCATTTTCTTTTAACTGATAAGATTCAGCAGATGAGAAGTCTAGATCGACATTGCTGAAAAAATATTTCCGTCAATTTTTGATGTCCAAAATGGAGGTAGGTGGCAAGAGGAGGCTTTTCGAGATTTTCCCATTCTAGAGTCTCTTTCCATTGATCATAGTCCCAATAAGGGTGACAGATGACAGAATAAAATTCATTTTTTGGAAAAAAAAGTGTCGTACAAGATTGGGCATAACAAAATGGCTCGGAAAAAAAGCGCGCCTCAATCAAACTGAACAAAAAACTTTTTTTCAAGCAGGAGAATGCCCAATTTCCCCTCATTATCTCCTTCTTCTTCTTACAGTCAACTGTCACAATGGCACGCGACCTCAATTTTTGCGCTGAGTCCATCATTCACTCCTCATTGTCGGGTACCCAGCATGACGTCTCAAAGGACATTTACCCAT